CTGTGAGGCCTGCATGATTGGAGGCTTGGCTACTTCTCTTTCACTGTCCAATCGCACTTTCCCTTGCTCACTTAAGCCAAAGTGGCTTCTTGTCTGTGGAACTTGCCAAACCGGTCCCAAAGGCCCGAGCACTTGCTATTCCCTCCATCCCTAGATATTCACATGGTTTCTCCCTCATTTCATTCAGCCCCTGTGCAAATGTCACTTCTGCAGAAGGCCTTTTAGTACTGTCAGGTAGCAAGTGCTCCGTCACTCTCTATCCTTTTGTGTGTGTGTGTGTGTGTGTGTGTGTGTGTGTGTGTAAGAGAGAGAGAGAGCGAGAGAGAGAGAGAGAGAGAGAGAGAGAGATAGAGAGAGAGAGAGAGAGAGAGAGAGAGAGAGAACACCTATGGCTACCTAAAGAGTCAATTCCCACCAGCCAAAGATCACCAGGAGACATGGTTGCTGTGGCTCAGTTGGTTGGACATCATCCTGTGCACCAAAGGGTTGTGGTGCTATTCCAGTCGGGGCACATGCCCAGGTTGTTGGCTCCGTCCCTGGTAGGGGGTGTGCAGGAGGTAACAGATGGATGTTCTGCTCTCACATTGATGTTTCTCTTTCTCTCTCCCTTCCTCTCTCTAAAAATCAATCTTAAAAAATATTTTAAAAAGAAACACAAAGGAGCACACAGTAAGTTTTTTAAGTTAAACTTTTTTGCAGCAAGAAAAACTAAACACCAAGGAGAAGAGTGGGGAATCTCAGTAAGAGGGTATTAATATGGGCTTGTACAGGTCTTGGGCTTGTGTTGATTTTTACAAAGGGTTCAAGAAAACAGAGAAGTGGGTGCTATTCTGACTGGGTGTTTTCAGAAAGTTGTGGCAATTCAGTGTCTTAGTTCCACGTATTAATTGGTAGAGAGGGGTGTATGCTTATTTTTGTGTTGCAGTATCTGATTAGGCTGATGACACATGAAGCTGGTCCCTCAAGGTCATGTAGTCTTCTTCAGCTGATGTTGACATTCTAAAACACTATTTATGTCCAGTAGGGGACACCACTGTAATGAGGCCAACTACTCAACGCCTGTCAGGAATGCTTTTCCTTTCTCATATATTTATTGTCTAGAAAGTAAGCTCTCAGGGCAGGGACTTGGTTTTGCTTACCACTGATGCACCAATAGTGGCTTGGCATATAGTAGGTGCTTAACAAATGTTTGCCAAACCTTCTTTCAAAACACCTTTCAACCTCAAGTCCTACACATCTACAATGGAGCCCTATATCTGCGACAGGTAAATTAGGTCCTTGGACTGTTTCAGAGGTGATGGCAGAGTCAAGAGTGCTGGTGGGCAGACCTTCCATAGAACTTTAAACAGGGAGAGCAACTGAGTCCTCCAGACACTCCCTTACTAGTAGACTAGACAGGACTTAGCTTCCTTCAAATGCCAGGGAAGACAATTAGAAAAAAACCCAAAACCACTACTCTCCAATGGCAAGGAATGGCCAAATTAAAGATTATACCACAAATAAAATGGGAGAAACATTCTTGATCTGTTAAGTTATCTTCCTTTTCCCGTTTGACATCATAGTCAGATGTGTTTTTAACAAAATGTATGACATACCAGTAGTCCGCTATTCAGTTAAACCTCCTGAAACATTTGCATACCAATAAAGTTGTCAATATTCCACTCACTTATGTAGAAAGGGAATTAAGATAGCATTTTAAAACCTATAAGATTGGCCAAAATAGGAAAATTCAGTAATACATTATTTTGACAGTGGTGTGGATTAACAGGAAAACTCATACATTGTTAGTGGAAAAATAAATTGGTACAACTTCTATTGAAGTCAATCTGACAAAAATTTTTATTTTATTTTAAATTTTATTGATTTGAGAGAGAGAGGGTAAGGGAGAGAGAGAAAAACATCAATTTGTTGTCCCACTCCTTTACGCATTCATTGGTTGATTCTTGTATGTGCCTTGACCAGGGATCAAACCCACAACCACCTTTAGCAATTTATTCTGCAGATAAACTTGCACACATGCAAAGTAACAGGAGGCAGCCGATGAATGATTCTCTCTCTTCATTATGTTTCCATCTCTTTCTTCCTCTCTGAAATCAATAAAAAAATATTTTTAAAAATTAACAATTTTTTAAAAATATATTTTATTGATTTTTTACAGAGAGGAAGGGAGAGGGATAGAGAGTTAGAAACATCGATGAGAGAGAAACGTCGATCAGCTGCCTCCTGCACACCCCCCACTGGGAATGTGCCCGCAACCAAGGTACATGCCCTTGACCAGAATCGAACCTGGGACCCTTGAGTCCGCAGGCCGACGCTCTATCCACTGAGCCAAACCGGTTAGGGCAACAATTTTTTTTAAAGGAGTAATAATCATAGGCACCACTGTGGAATCAATAGAGAAGAAATCCAGAATCCTTCCTGGACACTTAGGCTTATCATATTTCTGCATGTGAGATTTTCAACCGTGTTGAAGTTCATCAAATTGCATCACCACTGCCAAAATGCTCTGCAGCTAAGCCTCCAAAATCAGTCTTTGTGGAAAAATAGAATCAAATTTCATGTACTATGACATCTTATTGATGAAGGCTGCTGATTAGTCTGTATCAAAAAGCCATTAGGTACAGGTATTCTCCTTCGAGTGGGATCCAGGGCTCTTCAGGCTGGAAAATGAACAGGCCATGGTGGTTTGTATTTCTGGCTCTCACGGGAGCTCTGTGAGCTGAGAGCACATAGCATTTAAATATCACGCTCAGAGGCCTTTGAGCTAGCATCTGGTCTTCTTCAAAATTAGAGCTGAGGGTGATACAACTGAGCTCCTCTGAGGCATTATATTACCCCAACATCCTCCTCAAGTCTCCAACAGGGCCGGCTCCCACCCCACTTCATGCCTGGCAGCCCAGCACTCCAACAGGTGGGCTAGGTGCACAACCACAGAGACAGTGCCGGATACAAGGTATGCTATATGTCCTAGATTCACATCACACCACCTAGTAGCAGGTGGCAGCTCACTTATGTTGTCTTGATCTTCCTTGACTGGGGGCAAAGGCCTCTATAAACTACTCCTAGTCCCAGTTCCTTGTCCTACTATCTTGGGGTCTCTAGCCTTCCCTTCATCTCCAGTGATCTTTTGAGTACTTTCCACCATCTTCTCTCTCTCTCTCTGACTTATGCTTCTGCCCGTTACCAATTCCTATTTTATAGAACTACTTATACTTGTCTCTATAATTTAGATCCTGGCAACAGGCATTCCCAATGCTTCCATTTATAATATAATCAAACACATACTCCATCAACAGTTCCTTAATACATATACAAATAAACCAAATTTTTGCATGAAAATTAGAGCTCTCTAAGCTTTTCAGTGTCCTCATGAATTATCCTTCTGGAAGGGCTCAGCTTAAGTTTCATGAGTTTAGTGAATTCTCCCTGGACCCTCAGTTCCCAGTGAGCCTCCCTTAAGCTCTCCAGCTACAGTGAAGACAATAAATTTGTCTACTGCCTCAGTTGTTTCCAAACATTTCCTTCCCCTACCCTCAATCTTCCCCACCCCCCCAAAGGGAAAGCCTATTAGGAAAGCCAAATATGTAAAACACCAACTCTAGAAGAAAATGGTACCAAGGAGTTTAAAAACTACTGGTCTAGCTCTAGCTGGTTTGGCTCAGTGGATAGAGCGACAGCCTGTGGACTGAATGGTTCCAGGTTTGATTCCTGTCAAGGGCACATGCCGGGGCTGCAGGCTCTATCCCCAGTAGGGGGTGTGCAGGAGGTAGCCAATCAATGATTCTCTGTCATCATCATCTCTCTCTCTCTCTCTCTCTCTCTCTCTCTCTCTCTCTCTCTCCCTGTTCCTTTCTGAAATTAATAAAAAACAAACAAAAGAACTACTGGTCTATTCCATCAATGAATGTTGTTAGCTACCTTTTTATGTCATCTTCCTGGCTAGATTATTAATTCCCTGGGGGCACTATTTTATTGACCTAAATTTAACTACGATTTCAGCAACATGCACCAGGTACTAGGCCAGTAAAGCTACAGTACTTTTATAATTTTCCCCTTAATACCTCTGAGGTAGGCATCCCACTTCCCACCATTTCACATATAAGGTTAAGTGGGGCTGGAAGAAATGGCCCAATTTACTCAGTGGCAGAGATGTAACTCAGACCCAGGTCCTCAAGAGTCTAAATCCAGTGCATTTTGTGTTGTTAATCCTTACCCGAGGATATTTTTCCCATTGATTTTGAGAGAGTATGGAAGGGAGGGGGAGAAACATCGATGTGAGAGAGACACATTGATTGGTTGCCTCCTGCATGCATCCTGACCACAAAGGCACGTGCCCTTGACTGGAATCGAACTTGGGACCCTTCAGTCTGAGAGTCGATGCTCTATCCACTGAGCCAAACCGGCAAAAGACTCCAGTGCATTTTCTATTCCACCAAACAGCCTCTAGGTCTGTTCTGGACTATTCTTTTCTAGAGTTCCTGAGAGAAGACCAGAGAGGCTACAGTTAGTAGTAATCATGAAGACAAGTTCCATCATGGATTAAGCTCATATGGTCCTGCACCTGTACAATGCTTAGCGTTCCAATCACTCCATGATTGTGGGCTATGGGGCTATCCCTAACAACTTTCCCCTTGTCTTTCTAACACTGACCCGAGGGGATGATGGTGTCCTCCTATATAATCTCATTTAAATCAAATAAAAAACAAAAACTTTCATGTGTCCAGGAATAAGTAGATATTTGCTTCCCTTCCCTCCCTCTCAACTTAATCTACAATTTTTCTAATACCCTCAGGATGATCACTTTTCTTTCCTAGTGTACAGAAAAGAAAGGGGAAAGGGAAAACAGCTTATCTAATGAACAACTAAGAATTAGAAAATGTCAGGGACTAGATACATTAGGATTTAAAGTTGCAGGGCCCAATCATTTGCAAAAATAAAAATTCACTGTATAAGAAAATAGGCCAGCTGCATTAACAATGCAAAGACAAAGAAGAGACTAATTCAACTTTCAAGTGTTTTATTTTTAGTGTTTTAAAACTTTTTAATAGAACAAAGATATAAAATAATATATATTAGTTAAATCTGGATTTAATTTAGAATCAAGATATTTACTTATATACAATACTGTGCTTCAAGGTATGGCTACCACAGGAATTTTCACATCTTCAAGTAATACTAGTTTTTCTGTGGATAGGGTGACATTTAGGTAGAATTCTTGAAACAAAACATGCCCACTTTAATTCAAGCTAATTTTGTGCCCCCCATTATGTACCAGTTTCCACTTCCTTTTTTTTCATATTAGAAATACTTTAATTGTCCTAACAATCCATAGATTCTCTGAATAAAAATTATTAAAATTAAGCATTTTTAAGACGACATTACTGATAACATTGCTTGGTTATGTTCAGACAACTCAGTAGTTCAGATTGAAACAGACCAGAAATAACAATGAAATTAACAGAGTCCTCCTTCTCTCTCCATATGCTTAAACATGGGTACACTGAATAAAAAGTCCTTTGGTTAATTTAGGGTAAAACATACTCTAACAATCAACTTTTTTGGTAGCTGAATTATGGCTTATAAATTTCACAGATATTTTTATTGAACTTAATGCAAAGTAACGGCCATGGTTTAGCTACTTGAAATTAGTGGCATTTGCTGAGGGTGAGGGGTAGGCAAGAAGGGGACCAAAACTAATTTCCATTGTAATGTCAGCCATTCAAAGCCACTCAAAGAGAGGGGGAAAAGGAATCTTAACTTCTTTCCTTTTTCATTGGTCACCTGTAGCAGCCTGACTTTGCTGTTACCAACAATTCTCCTCTATAGAAGTACACGGGAAATCTGGGCTAACCTTTTTACAATTGCAAACTGTCCTAACTGCCAAGTACAGATGGCATTAAAACTGGCATGCCTTGTTGGCTTTGCAACTATCTAAATGAAACAAACACTGTTTAAGAAAGCGATTGAACTATTCTAAAAGAGAGCTTTCATGTCTCAAATGCCTGCATACCTTAAAGAACTATCACTACAATTACCTTTGGTAAGGGATAACTTAAGTCTACAAAAAGACTATCAAAGAATTAAATTTATTAGATCAGAGTGTTTAAAACAAGAATATAGTTAATTTTCCCAAGCATGTTGGAATTGGAATCCTTAAAATAAAGTTTACTTTGCAACTAATGATGAAATTGCCTTTTGCTGAATCCAGTCAAAGCAGGTTAGTGTTATGAATATGACTCTGAATACATAAACACTTTCCAAACAGATGTTCCTAAAACAGACTGTTTCCTAGCAGCTATAAAAGCTTTTGGCTCCTCTGTTCTCCATTTACAAATCACAAGATTTTGGAATTCTAACAACAACCAGGCAGGTACAGGGTAGAGAAGAATGCCACTTGCCGTGTTGGTTACACTACCAACAGGGCTCTTAGTCAATGGCTTCTTTCATGTGAACAGTTCACACTTATCAGCTGACTGGTTCTAAGGCTAAACTCAGTGCTTTCTGATTTAAAAGGATACTACTAATAAACCGACCCAGCATATGAAAGTTGTTTTTACCCTAGCCATTCTGGCCACAGAGAACTATGGAGAGGATAGGCATATTGAGAGTTCTGCAGCATAGCAACAAAGGTTCCTCCCAAATTATTTGGTGATAACAGTAAACTTGCCTTCTTCAAATTATCCTACTCCCTATGAACTTCAATTACCTTTTCAGTAACACTGCCCAGTATAGACTTTAAAAAAAAGAAAGGTAGATCATGCTGTCCCAGGAACATAGAAAAATGCATCAAAGACTTTGCATATACCTCCAGTTTGCACCCCAAACCAAAACTTTCTTGGTTCCTTCTACACTGAGGTCTCAAGTGTTTAATGATGTAAGCCTCTCACTAGTCTAAAACTGAAGAACCTAGTAAAGGTCAAAAAAAAAATGTAGATCTAAAGCATGTAGCTTCTCTATCTAGCCACATTCACAACTAACATGTAAATGTAAATACCATCTCAACTAGTTTAGATTTTACCAAGAAAAAAAAAAAAGACAAAAATCTGGAAATTTTTGGACAAACAAAAAGTGACAAAAATATAGGTTTCATATTAAGAGGAAAAAACACGGAAAAGAATTCTGTCTCAAAGTTTTCTAAGAAAGAGGTTTGGAGATGACTGATTTATGTAAACACTGCCTTGTAATAGTTATAGAAATAAATTATAAGTTTAGCTTACCTTTTCCTCAAAACAGATTTAAAATACAAGGTCTAAAGTTATTTTACAATCCTTACTGCCATCAGCTGTTAGGCACTCTCAATGTCTATAGCTCTGCAAATCAGTTGCAATTTATTCTTTCTATTTTGTTCTAGAATAGAATCCATATGAAGGAAATAAGACTGATGGTAGGAAACTTCCCATTAAGTAGCTACTTAACATTCTTGACTTAATGTTGCCACAAATTTTTTCCAAACATTTTTTCAAAAGCCATATCAGTCCCTCTAAAGCTAAAGAAAAAATGACAGTATCACATCTTTTGACTGGGTCAAATTCCCTTGACTGGCAAAGGACACATCCTTCAACCTTCATAATTATGCAATTTCCTTAGATGAAATATTGGCATTTTTGTCCCTAGCATGTAATAGAATCAACAATTTAAGATATTATAAGACTCTCTTGAATGATATTTAAAAGCACAATAAAATAAATTGCCTTGTGCTGTTTCTCAAGTGGGAATAAAAAATTATGTTCAGAGCAGACTCAAAATGGGATCATGCAGCACTGACTAAAACTTGTTCGAATAATATTCCTTTCCTGCCCAATCCAGTTGGGATCCTCTGTAGCTTATACAAGGTGGGATTATAACTCAAAGTGCAAAAATAAGATATTTCAACCAATAAGAACCAGGCTCCTGCTAAGTAGCCTAATTTTAGACCTCAATATGCCAGCACCTTTTCTAACTCCTTGTTTTAAAATGGAATGTAAAAACTACACAATTAATATTCTAAGTGGCTAAGCTCATCAATTCCAATCCCACAACCATCCTACTGTCATAACTACTCTATAAAATCATTAAAAAAGTGAAGTGACAGATGTTATTTGAGGTCAAATTATATAAGGTACTAAATTTCTAGTGTTGTAAATAGCAACTAAGTTATATCTCTTCCTAATTGCCAAATTAAGACTAAATAGAAAGAATGTATGTACACAATTGTATTTAAGATATAAAAAAACAGTAAAACCTTTCATATCCAAATATGTCTGTGGCCAAGAATGAGACATTTCAAAGCCCAAAAAGTTATACTATGCTCGCAACCTGTTATAAATTTCTTTTCAGAAAGAGAAAAAATATTTTTGCATGCATATCTCCATACTCAAGGACATAAGAACTTTATCTAATGTCTGGTAAACACCCCACTGTTTTGCTCATTAAATAACATCATTAAAAAGCATAAAACTGGACTGCCATCTTACTAACAGCTATAGCACAAAGTTTTTCCAGGTAGCTGCATCACTAAAATTCAGCCAATTCTATTTTTATGGATGCAGTTATTTTTCCTCATGAGTTTATGACCATACTGAACCCTCAGAACAAAACAGGAACTGCATCTTTCGTTGCATCTTTGGTGAAAAATGCCTGTACTATATTTGTACTCTGTCACCACATGTATGGCCCCTTTCTCTTCTTGTTTCAGGCATCCTGGTATGTTCAATATACTTTTCTTAAAGGCAAAATTATGTTAATAAAACTGATTACTTTCCAGAGTTGTATTTTTAAAAAGACACAGAGATTAACTCAAAGAACAAGTATTGTTCATTTGGTATGGGATTTTCCTTTGAAAATAATAAGAAACTTTAAAAAATATTATTTCTTGACTGGAATCCAACTTGAAATTAAAAAAAAAAATCTTTCAACCAGCAAGTTCAAAATGCAAATACTCAACAGGTAAGGGTAACACCCTGACTTCAATCACATTACTTCTGCCTAAAGAGAAAAGGCAAAAAACATCTACTTAAGCTTTCTGTTCAAACAGATAGGGAAAGACTCTTAATGTTCCTTCATGCTTTCTATAATCACAGCCTTGCTCAGAACAGGGAACTTTACTTTGTCAACATAAAAGCCAAAAAGCAAGGCGTCCAGGTACAACCTAGGGGAGAAAGCAAAGTTACTCACTTTCAAGAACTACTGTATATTTAATCATGAACCCATAACAAAGATAGTCTTCATCCAATTAGTCTTTTCATTATTGTTGGCTTTGAAAACGGCCAACAATATTCATTAGGTACTGTACCATTAACATTACATTCAAAAAAAGAAAACATGGGAAACCAAATTCTTGCTCTCCTACTCTGCTGATATGCTCTGGTATTAGCTAGAGTATGGTAGTACAAAAAGAGTCTTGTTGTGATATAAAAGGCAATAAACACATCAATGGAATAATGTTCATGGGCAGCCAAAATGAAGAAGATTCCAAAGAGGTTGAGAACCCAGGATAAAGTGTGCAAGAAATTCCAGCTTCTTGGTGTATCTGGGAAAAGGACAGAAAGATCATTTTAAAACCACATTCCTTCCAATGCTTCTTAGACATGTTTCTTAGTTTAGTCTCCCATTCTTCATAGAACTTGGCACCCTTCCCACTGCCTCCTCTGCAGTTAGTCATCTAATATGCATAAACAGATACTTACATTCAGTGACAAAGAAGTTCAGCATAGTTAGGACGACTGTGTGGCCACTGAACATGTAATCTCCACAAGTGTGAACACCTGTTAGCGTCATACCAAAGCCACTCCAAATGGCAAAGGCCCGGCGTAGTTTCTCCCACACACTGCCATATATCTATAAAGAAAGCTATGAATTAGTGCTTTAAATGCTTAAGGAGGTAAGAGATCTGAACATCCATTCCCATTGAAATTCAATACTGCCTGGCTAGGTAACTCAGTTGGTTAGAGCGTGGTCCTGATACACCAAGGTTGCAGGTTTGATCCCCAGTCAGGGCACATACAAGAATCAACCAATGAATGCCTAAATAAGTGGACAATAAATCGATGTCTCTCTTTCTCCCTCCCTCTTTCTAAAATCAATAAATTAAAAAAAATAAATTCAAATGCTGAATGACTTAGAAATAAGATCTAAGCAAAAGCAACCAGAAGACTCCCAGTCTAATGAACTCCAGTTATCAAGACTGGGTGGTCAAGCTTGGCAGTACTCAGAAATATTTCGGTAATTAAATAAATAAAATCAATATAATTTAAACTTCTCTACTAGGAGTTTCTTTGTAAGAAAAAAGGTGATCAAAATACAAAAGTATTTCTAAGTTTTTAATCCAATAATTAAGTAGTATTTGTTCGGCTCTCCTTGCCAATAAGAAATAGGCTGTGGCAAAGACAATGACTACCAATCAATATCCATTCTCCCTTCTTCACTGTTAACAAAATCTCAAATGTATTTGAAGTGGCAATGAATTCAACCAAAAGAAACATTGTATTTTCCAGCCTCCCTTGCAGCTAGGTGAGGCTATGTGACTAAATTCTGTAAAAAAAACATTATGAAAGTGTAAAAGGTTTCTAGGAAAGCTATTCCCTCTTCTGGTTGTCACGTAGCTTTCAGTCAAAGATTAAGAAAATATGTTATCACTTATAGTCAAAGATTATAAAGTACTTTAGTCATGGCCTGAAGGCCTGCCTGTAAAGCAAGTTCCAGGAAAAAGAAGTTTAAAAGTACACTTTGCTTGAGATAATAGAAAAATATTGCTAATTAAGCACAAAGCAATGATAGCTTAAACAATATCAAAGGTCATGAGATGTTTAGTTTCTGCTTTTTGCTTTAAAGATGTCACTGACATGCAATTATGAGATATTTTGCAGAATCTTGGTTCCTTAACCAGATAGATCACCCAATCAGAGTGACAAAGACACCAAATGAGATGTCAGGAACTGAATTAATCAGACTAAGGAAAACCACAAAAGCTTGCACAAGAACTAACCGATCTGCTTCATCCTCAGACCCTATCTCCCAACCCTCAATCTTTGCCTTTAAAAACCCTTGCTCAAAAGCCATCAGGAGTTTGGGCTTAAAGCAATAGCTTCCCATTCTCCGGGCTTGGCACCATGGCAATAAATGGCTTCAATTTCTCCACTGCAAAACTTAATGTTGAGTGTTTGGCTTTGCTGCGTGTAGAGTGAGTGGTCTGATCCCCTTGTTTGGTAATAAAACATCTTCAATAGAAATCACAATTTCATTACAAAATTCATCTGCTGATTATACACTACCCAGCTTTCTCTGCCATAGTTGAGGGCAGGAGAGGAAGAAGAATTTATTAATAGAGAAAATAAAAGAGAAGGTACTAAAGTACACAATTTGGTTCTTCCATGACTTCTAATGAGAATAGGTTTAGAGACGTTACTCTCATGAAAGTAAAAAATCAGGCAGTGAAGAACTAGGAAAAAATCTCAGCCATGGACAGGAAACAAGTAATGTCTGTCCAAAAAAAAAAAAAGGAAAGAAAGAAGTTATTGCTCAATTACTCAAGTCTTTCTATCCTTTCCAATCTCAAATATCAGGAAAATAAAGTTGTAACCACACAATAGAATGAGTACGATGATCTGATGAGACAAGGTGTAAAAATTTGCTTTAAGAATTCCATTGATTAATTTAAAAATAGGCATGTTCTTGGTTCTGTGCCCAAAGCTCTTACTTCTGAGAATGAGAGTTTAAGCAATTAATTTATTACAATGAAAATGCCCCAAAGAGTTCACTGTAAGGGATTTGATTGCTAGTTAATATCACCTTAACTTTCTATTTTTAATGACTGTTGCAAATAATATAGGTCAATAAGTAGGTTATCTTATAATTCAAAGCAATTAACAGCATTTAGGGCACAATTTGAATAGAAAGCTCCATATATAATTAACTGATCATGAAAAACAGTAACTAGAGACAGTAAAAGGGCTGTCCATACTGTAGAGGAATGGGGTTTAATTTATTTTCATAGCATACTAGAGGCCCAGTGCACAAAATTTGTGCACTGGTAGGGTCCCTATCGGCTGCCAGCTGCCAGTCGGGTACTCCCCGACCACCTGCCGCAGCCACCCCCGGTGGAACTCCTGGAAGAACTCCGGTCGAGGGGACAATTTGCACACTATGCTTTTATTATATAGGATGTTGCAGTCCGATGCACATATATTTAGTGGCTGACCCATAATTAAATCCTTTGGCTATAGGACATTATTTTTTCAGTATAATAAGTTTTCTTTAAACCTCTTTTAATCAATTAGCATACTATTTGAGGAAACTGTTCTACCCCTACTTCATATCATGTACAGAAATAAGTTCAATAGATTAAAGATTTAAATATAAAACAAGACTATAAAAGTTTCAGATAACATCTTTCATTAATCAGAATGGCAGTGACTCAAAAGATTAACAACAAATGGTGCTGGCACACAGTGGTGGGAAAACTGACATGCATACATTGTTGGTAATAGTGAAAACTTGTTTTTTCTAGCAGACATTTGAACAATACATCATAATTTTTAATGTGTGTGTTCTTTGATTTTATAATTCCACTTTCAAAAACTTGTCTTAAGGAGATGATTAAATAGTGAAAAAGCATAAATGTACACAGATATTTATCACAGCACTGTTTATAAAGCATAGGTTTGGAAACAACCAAAATGTGCACCACTTGGGAGACTGGTAAATCATGCAATGGAATACTCTGCAGCTATTGAAAAGATGAAGTATGGCTATTTGTATTTCTTCAGAAAAAAAGTAAACATAATATTAAATAAAACATAAGGTAAAAAACTATGCCTGTAATATAATCCTATCTTTTGTTTTTAAAAAAGTATCTATCCAGATAAACTTATTTAATGTATAAGCATGCTTACAAATAGCCTATGTGACTACCCACATGACAGTTAATAGCATTATTTATGGTGTAGAGTGAAAGAGAAGAATTGTGCGCTTTTACTTTTTTAAAAAAATATATTTTATTGATTTTTTACAAAGAGGAAGGGAAAGGGATAGAGAGTTAGAAACATCGATCAGCTGCCTCCTGCACACCCCCCACTGGGGATGTGCCTGCAACCAAGGTACATGCCCTTGACTGGAATCGAACCTGGGACCCTTCAGTCTGTAGGCTGACGCTCTATCCACTGAGCCAAACCAGTCAGGGCCGCTTTTACTTTTTAACTCGTACATTTCTATAAAATTTGAATTTTTAAAATAAAGCATTTTATTATTTTTTAAATGTTATTTATTTTAGAGAGGAAAGGAGAGAAATATTGATTTGTTGTTCCACTTATTTGTGCATTCATTGGTCGATTCTTTTTAAAAAATATATATTTTATTGATTTTTCACAGAGAGGAGGGGAGAGGGATAGAGAGTTAGAAACATCGATGAGAGAGGAACATCGATCAGCTGCCTCCTGCACATCTTCTACTGGAGATGTGTCCGCAACCAAGGTACATGCCCTTGGCCGGAATCAAACCTGGGACCTTTCAGTCCGCAGGCTGACGCTCTATCCACTGAGCCAAACCGGTTAGGACTCATTGGTTGATTCTTGTATATGTCCTGACTGCAGATGGAACTCGCAACCTTGGTGTATTGGGATGACACTTTAACCAACTGAGCTACCCGGCAAGGACTAAAATTTGAATTTTTATAATAAACTTATGTAACTCTGTAATTAGAAAATATTACTCTCCCTTTTTTGGGACAAAAACAGCTTTTACCTTAAAAATGAAACATTTCCTTTACACTAACTCCTAACTGTCATATAACCCTTCCTCCTTCTTACTGGCCAGTCTCCTAATACCTGGAGAAAGTTTGCCACCCTTCAGCTCAGGCTTTATTTTAGCTCTGATCGCCTTTGCTGCCTATCTCCCTTGTGACATTCAGCTATTAGATGCAGCA